GTAGCACTTAAGTGATATTCATCACACAATATCTTATTTTGTACACATTTCTGTCTCTGCATCATGTCCCTAAGTAGATGCCACAGGATAGGACCACGTCTTAAATACCCAGTATCTCCCATGTCAGTTAGCATGGCGCTGGCGCAGAGGAAGTGGGGTTAATGAAAAGTGAATAAGCAAATAATGCATTTCTTGAGCCACATAATTGTACTGAAGATGACAGAGCCTGGAGTCAAGCAGGGTTGAGAATTAATGAGGAGTGAAAGGAAAGCAGTTTATTTTTTCTACAGCTATAATCTCCATGGCATCAAGAGAAGAGAACCAGGCCAGGACCTCAAGAGCAACAGTGCCTGTTCTCAAAGAGTTACCTGTTTCTAAGTTGGGCTACGTGTGTCCCCCCCTCAGAATACTGAAACACGAGAAGAAATGATTAGAGATGTTATTTCCCATTGCTCTGAACACATGCTTTAATGAAGCTGGAGTCTGCAAAATGATATCTCCATCAAGGTGGCTCCTCATTAACTGTTTCACAACTGTCCACGTGACACTTTAAAATGGTCCACATAGAAAATAGCACCCAGACACCTGAGTGGGCAGCTGGCTGGTCCCCCTTCTCAGAAGCTTTAAGCCTTGCTGACAAACCATTGTCAGCACTGTCTCTGGCCCCACAGCCAGAGGTAAGCCAGTGAATGGCTGAGCCACAAGGCTGCCAGAACCTAGGGGGTGGGCAACAGCCAAATTGCATCTGCTGTTAAACTTTTCCTGGGGAAGAAAACACAGGAGTTTGGTTGACTTCTATTCTTTACTTTTATCAAAGCAATATAACTGTGACTAACATGTCCAGTTGCTTTGTGAGATCACCAAGAAGCCAAATCCACCACCAAGAGGGACACAGGACAAGGATGGCCCAACCCAACTCCTGAGTCCTTTTCACAAATGGAGATTACCAAGAGAAACCAGAAGGACAGCAATGAATTAGTGGGTGAGAGGCAACAGTGTACAGGGCAGCCTTGTTAAGTGGGGAAGGAAGATGGACAGACAGTTAGCCCAGCTGCCAGAGCTCTCCAGAAGCAGGAGTATGTTGCTCCACCAGCCACCATGGAGGCTCACTGAATGCATATGGCGGGCCAACCCTCCATTGATAGCAACCAAGGGAGTAGATGTTTGCCTGCACCTCCCTGCCTCTCTTCCTCATTCTCCCCTCTGGTCTCCATCCCTTTTCTTCCTTTCTGTCTCTCTTCTTATGTCACAAAGGAAGATCCAAACTGTGTGTAGGGCAGGAGAGGGCAGATGTTATCTGGGGTTAGAATTGAGTTCTCAAAGGAGAACATTTCAAGTCCGAGGAACAAGAACCTATAAAGAACTTCTGATATGCTCAGCACTGTTTGCATCGGAGGAAGTAATTCTTATTAAAAATGAAAAGTCTGCTCCTGTGTGCCCTCAATTTACATATCATATTTGTAAAAAATGGTTCACATTTACCAGAGAAATCAGCTGCTAAACCACTACTCTGTACTGACTATTCACGGCATAGAATCTAGAACCCAGCCAACAGTGGTTTGCTCGGTTTGCTCAGTGTATGGTAGAACTAATAGGTGTCCCTGATACCATCCCTCGACATGCGGTTGTAGTGCCTGGAAAATCAGATTTGTTTTTGAGTCAGTAACATAGACTGGTTTGTGCCAGGCAATCTATATAATTGCCCAGAGTTCCCCAGGGAGCTCCTTCTTAAAATATTCTGTGGAAATTTCAGCTACTCCCCTCAAGGAATTTACCCTAAGTGAAGAGAAAATTCACATTCACACATGGATTGATTAGAGCAGGAGAAAGAATCAACTTTGACTTGAGGTATTCTAGGGTCTTGAACAAAAGTAATCATCAATATCATAGTTTAAAGAAAACGAAGTTTGAATGTTGTTTTTTAAGGTTCTTTGGGTTTCGATCAATGCAGAGAACCATTTCACTGGCAAGGCTCCTTTGCTTACGATTTGAAATGAACATTATCCTATGAAAAGGAAATCATGAAGGATCCCATGCTTTTTCATGTTAATATAAACAAATTATCAGCTCCTGTCCTGATAGTTGATCCTATCAAGGGAAAAGGTGAAAATGCAGAGGCCACTACGAGGGGTAGGGAAGGGAGCATCTCCGCAGCACCACATTCTGTGAGTGGGAACCCGGGACTCAGGGAGATAAAGAAAATTGGCCCCTTGATAAGTCTGAGCTCCAAACTCTCTGCTCTTATGGCTCAAATATAGCATTTAGATACTAGTAATAAAACCTGAGGCACTTGGTGAGTTTCTCCCTGGCTGTTCTCAAAGAGCCATCAGGATCTCTCAGTGAGTTGCATATGACCAGAAGCAAGGCGAAAGCCCTTTCACAGTTCTAGAAACCAAATCATGAAAGTGCCTGGTTTTCAAGGTTTCTTAAGCTCTAAGGACCAGCTACACTGTGATTCCTGAAAAAGACCAGGAAGGAAGAAAATGGTTCAGGGCTGCAAGAGGCTGGCCCTGCCCCTGTGCACCCCATGGAGGAGGTAAGGGACCATGGCCTCTCAGAAATGGGAAGGAGAAGAGGGGAGGTCTGGCTGCCGGCTGCCTGCTGCCCATAAGCTGTGCCCTGGCTTCTCAGGGCTAGTAAGTGGGAGCTGTGTGGTCTAGAAGTGGGAACCTCAATCTTTCCTGATGTTATTGATTTACAACACTGTTTTTAGGCATAAGTTTCAGGAAGTACAAAATGTCACATAGATGTGTTTTTCCTAAACTATGAGGTCAGAGCCAAGCCTGGACCCTGGGCATCTACCATGGGTACAGCACAAAGCTCCTGCCCCAGGCAGCTACCAAGTGCACTCACCTGGGTGTGTGACTGTTGCAGCCACGAGCTCTGGGTCTACTGTGCTGCTCCCTCAGTGCTGCTGAGATGCCTGTCCCTGCACAGAAATACACAGGGCCACCACCCTGTGAGCCGTGGTGCTGGAGGGGGACTTCAAGCGCCTCCCAGCCCTGCTGGCCTGTGCAGTGACCCCTCAGCCAGGGTCTGCTTCTTTCTTAAGCCACAGGCTGCTTCCTGTCCCACCACATGCCCCCTATTGTTCCAAGCCACTGGGCCTTGACTTCAACAGTGTTAGAATTTTCCGGAACTAAAGGGCAAACCCATGTTAAGGTCAGAGAATGGGAAAGACAGGTGTCTCCACAACGCATGGGACTGAGAACCAAATGGATAGGCCCTGGAGGACTTAGAGAGAGGGGCATGTGTGGAGTGGAAGGTACAGGGGACCTGGCTCGGTGGCTCACCTGGCTCCTGTGTTCTGAGGGGCAGTCATGCTCTCCTACAGGAAGGAGGAACAAGGGCAGGCCGGCCTCAGGCTTATACCTTGTCTCCCCCTACACCCTGGGCATGACAAATAGAGGGGTCTGCAGGGTGGGGCTGGGCTCAGGACCCTTCCTTTGCCTTCACCCACTCCCAAGCATAGCACATGCCCGTTAGCTCACCTGGGATTGAAGATGCAGTTGTTGACATGGAGGGTGGGGCAGGTGGCAGAATTTCTAGGGTAGAGAAGGTGATTGGCTCACAGGGCTGTGGGCACTTTGCTCTTCCCTTGGAGTCTCAGCAGCTGCCCAGCTGCCTCCTGCTTCAGACTGGGCTGGCCCTGTGTCACTTCTTTAGTGGCAGGTCACCATCCTAACTCCGTCATGCCCATCTTTCCCTAAGACTCTCCTACATGAAAGTGGGGGAGCTTCAAGCTTCCCATTTCCCATGAGATAAATTATCAGCAGCTCACATGCAGCCATTTGGGAAAAAACTCAAGGGTGACCATGCTGATCTTGGCTTGAGAAGCCAATAGACATCTCAGAGTGAACACTGTGATTCCAGCTGTTTTCCGGGGATGAAGCTTGAAAGCTACACAGGGATGAGGTGAGATCCCACAGGAGGCACCTTCTGTCACTTACACAAACCCCATGACATAGCAAAGCTTCTCTGCATGCCAGCCTGGTAAACGTCGAGGCTGCTGCTTATGGGACAGTGGGCAAAGTCACCTGCAGCACGTCTCCCTATGAAGTCCAGGCTGTTCTGACCACTCTCTGTGTCCCACAGGCTTGGACACCAGGCAGGCACAGGTCATCGTCCTGTCCTCGGGCACCAAGTGCATCAGTGGCGAGCACATCAGCGACCAGGGCCTGGTGGTCAATGACTGCCACGCGGAGATCGTGGCCAGGAGGGCCTTCCTTCACTTCCTGTATGCACAGCTGGAGCTGCACCTGAGGTACGGGGCCATAGCCATGGCTGCTGGGACTCCAGGGGCTGGCTGCTCTTTGATGGGTGTGTTGGCACACCACTGCTGGTGAGCAGCCAGGGGAACAGAAGGGGGACCCATACCAGCTCAGAACACACTGCTCCCTTCATCCTGGCAGATTCCTTCCCAGGGTGCTCCACGAAGCGTCCCTTTCTATTCAGACCTGAGCACCCTTTGAGCACCAGCAAGATGCTGAAACACCAGGTCCCCTCCTCATTACCCCATGCCACTCCCCAGGAAACCTGTTTGCCTACAAGTTGCATACACACCTACCTCCACACAGCTGCCCCCACATGGACACACTCAGGGACATGCTCATTCCATTTGATTATTTCTTTTAAAACATGCAGGGGCTCATCACAGTGTCCCCAAAAGTCAATCTTCTTCATGAGGCTCGGATCCACTACAGTCCAGAAAGCCACAGACACAGTCATGGCTTCATCTCACGTGCAGTCCACGTTCAGTGAAGGTGTTTCTCCAGTGACATGCTGGGACTCTAAATGCCAATGGCTTGAAGACAGAATCCAGCTCTAGGGACAGCTAGAGGAGCACAGAGGAGCACAGAGGAGCACAGAGGAGCACAGAGGAGCCCCCCAATGCTGGATTCATATGTGCCCTTAATTGAAGGCAATACTCTTTCCACCACCAGCTTCCAGTTAGGTCCAGAATGAGCATTACAGGAAGGAAGGAAGGAAGGAAGGAAGGAAGGAAGGAAGGAAGGAAGGAAGGAAGGAAGGAAGACAAAGGGAAAGAATGAATTCACTATCTCTTGGGAGACGGGAGGTATTGCTCTCTCTGAAACCCATAGCTGCACTGACTGAACTGAAGGTGTGTTCTCTTACTGTGTGAGGTAACTTGGATTAATGTATCTGCTGTCTGATAGACTTTCATTTCAGCCATGGAAATGTGCCAGTTTGGAGGCGGCCTCTCTGCTCAATTTTGACAAGATTGTATCCACCTTGAATGGGGCCCACAGGGCAGGATTTCCATGGGAAGCAGCGCTACCCTCTCCCTGCTCAGTCTTATTTTAAAAATTTCTCAGCCAGGGAAATTTCTTACAGAGTCGAGGTTTCTATAAGAGTGGCCAAGGCTATCTCTCAAACCTAGGCTCACAGATGGCTATCATTTTGCTTCCCAAGTGACAGGCTCCAGTTTCCACTGGACAAGTCCCAGGCAAGCAGCTCTTACATATGACAAGGTGGCCAGTCCCATGTTGGTGCACAGTACCTTCTAGCCCTTGTCCTGCTGGGTGAGGCCATCCTCTCCTGGCCTCATTTCACCCTACATCCCCACATTCCCAAATGTGTTCAGTTCTCTAGACCTTGCCCTCAGGTAGTGGGACTAAAGTAACCAAGGATGGGTTCTGAGATGTAACCTGTCTCATTACGCCACCTCCAAGTGCATTTTAATAAGGGTATTCTGAAACAGAGGCCACTGAGACCCCGAGAAATGTGCTCGGAGGTTGGAATTTTCAGTGTTCTCATGACAGCCTTCTCCAGCCATCAGGAAAAGGCAGACTGTCACCTGGGCTGGCATCTCTCTCTAAGACACATTAAACAAGAGCAGAGATGCAGGTGGACTAGAGCGCATGTCTCGGATGCATGCCTGCACTGAGCTATTCGGTCACAGGGTTTGATGGCTGTGGGTCTCTTTGCCAGAATGTTCCTTCCCTGCATCCTCCAGCTGCCCTTCTGTAGCCTTTGAAGCAGTGTTCCTCAAATCCACTAATAATGGGATCTCAGGGGGGCTCTGTGAGTGACTCATCATGCCCATTAGCATGTGCAGCAGCCACACAAAGGGAAGAAAGGCCCGAGTATATGCCAAACAGACTCAAATAAAAGCAATACCTTAATACACTCAATTAATTTTTATCTGAGCCTCTGAGCAGTGCGTAGAAGCCTGATATATTGCCCCATCGGTTCCAGGAGGCCCGCCCAGGCGCGGCTAGAGTTGAATGTAAGGGAACAGAGTTGGAAATTTCTCAAAATGCAGAGAAGGATTTCTCCTGAATATCCAACTGCTCAGTTGGAAATATTTCCAAGTACCCTTTCCTCCAGTTGGTGTAGTGGGAGGGAATCAGGCCAAGATCTGCCAGGAGTTGGCTGCATGCCCAGCACTGTGCTGCCAGCTTGCAGGGTGGGGGCTCAAAGACAATGTCTCCCATCCCTTCCCTGCATGGGGGCACCAGTAATGGCTTATGAAAAGCCAGCTACAGGGAGTGAGGTTTGAGCCCCTTGGCAAACCGGGAATGTTGGTCCCCAGGATCCCTGGAGGAGCTCACTTGGGCAGAGGGAGGGTGGGTGGTGGCCAAGGAGTAAAAGGCACAGCAGCAGAAAGGCTGGTAAGGCATCTCCCAGGTTTCCTGGGGAGAAAATGTCTGTTCTGCTGCCTGTGAGATCTTAGGGCCCAGCAACACAGAATCCATCACCAATGGGGCAGAACGTGTGAAAACAGCCAGACTGGCAGAAAAGAGGATGCAAGAAACCAGGGAGAAGAAAATCCAGGAGAAAAAATGCAGCCACGTTGGTACAGCACCCAGGCTGGGGTCTCCCCACCTCAGCGGAGGCAGGGGCCTCTCACATTAGAGTTTAAAGGCTACCAGGGAGGTTTCCAGGAGTAACAAGCCGGAATTCCTCCAAGATGAGGCAATTTAGGTTTGTCCAGATGCACCCCAGGAAGAGTCTGTCCTGGTTGCCATTTCTACCTAGCCCTGCTGAGGACCGAACTCCAGCCCCCTTTTTAAAAATCCCTTTTCTGCCTTTAATGCTCACATATGTTGCCCAACAAGTCTACAGTCTTGCCAGACATTGCCAAGAGAAGCCTTTGTGAACCCGCAGGATTAGGGCTTTATAAACTGTAGACCACTGTCTCTGCGTAAAATAAACCTGAAATGTAAATTCTAAGATGGTGAGGGTGGCGGGATTTCTGCAGCTTGTTTGCTTTCACGTGGTTTCCCCGCAGCCTCTCTCGGAAGGGTCTGTGCAAGGAGCAAACACAGTGTGGAGTGCGGAGAAGAAAAAAAAAAATTAGGAGCAACTCTACCAAACAGGACAAAAGCCTCCTTGGCCTGGCTGGAATGTTTCTGGTTTGGTTTGTAATAAATGACCCAGATCCTCTTCTTGTCCCCAGCAAGCGACGAGAGGACTCGGAGCGATCGATATTCGTGCGTTTAAAGGAGGGAGGCTACCGGCTTCGAGAAAATATTCTCTTCCATCTCTATGTGAGCACATCCCCCTGCGGAGACGCGAGACTCAACTCTCCCTACGAAATCACCACAGACCGTAAGAGACAACATATTTGCCTTTTGTAAACAAACAGCGCCAGGCTCCCCTGTTTCTGGACTCTGTCCCAGGCTGCCTTGGCCCTGGCACTGTGTGTGTGTGTGTGTGTGTGTGTGTGTGTGTGTGTGTGTGTGTGATGGCCACTGCTCTGGGAAGCTGGAAGAGGATTCAGCTGCAATTAGCTAGATAAT